GTGGCTCTGGCTTCTGATTGGTCAATAAAGCCTGTTTTGTTGTACCGATCTTTGACCTATTAGAGCTCGGGTATTCTACACGGCGACGTATAGGAGCGCAGACATATTGGACTAGGCTGGCCCCAGCTAATGCTCTCACTGCATTCCAATGGCATGCGAGGTAGATAAGCAGCCAACCGGAGAAGGACACGAATGAAGAGCAGTATAAAAGAATCGGCGTAGTCAGCGCGGTGGACACGGATGGACAGCGACTGACCTGTGGTTAAGGCATGCGATTAATCAGTCTTCTTCATTCTAGGCATCGGGTATACTACGACCCTCTGCATGAACCACCATATCGACGTAGAAGGCCGGAGGCATATTGGAACAAGCAAAATTAAGATAATCCTCTGTTTGCTTTAGAATGGAATACATATGAGACCGAGAGACAACAGGAAACAGAGATGGACGGGAAGCACAGTATAACGAGCAGCAGCACTTGCTCAAGGGGCAAAGATAGACAGAGCTTAAAGTACACTAGCATTATAATTGTTTAATAAAATTTTCCGCCGTATCTCCCTCCTTAATAAAATGTGATAAGTATTCTAACTCAAAGTAACACAAATGCTCGAAACCGATGGATCAACATACGCTTAACTAACACTCTGTTCCGAAAGCTTGAATAGCTTCTAAAGGAGGATTATATGCAACAATGTTTGAATGACACTTTGCAATGAGCATCTCAGCAAATGAGTGGGACATGGATGCTGGGTTGCTGACTGGAGGCCATGAATTCAACTTGGTCTAATAAAGCCCATTATTTATTACCAATGCTCCTCTTAGGGCAGATTACTTAGACATTAGGCAAAAAATTGGCTAGAAAAGGTACTTTAAGGCATGTTGTTACACTGTTCTCCTAACAAATTCATTCAAAATTACGGAGTTTTTGTGAAAAACTCTGGCATTCTATTTCAATATAACTTTAGAGAAATGGGCTTAGGCTTCACTTAATTATATCTTGATTAATTCCTGCTAAAGAAATTACTCCTTGCATAAGAAATTATAAAAGTCAGACCTTGTTCTATTACGAGTGGACTGCTCCGAACTCTGAGAGATTATCTTAAGCAAGGTGCAAATCAATGCTTGCTATGCACACAGAGCAAAATTTCACTCATTATGTCATTTCTTTCAGAGATTTTATGGTCACTTTTTCTAATCGAAATTAAGAAATTCTATATCTTGATTTGCAATATGTCCTATTTTTAAATGCGTTATCTTTCAATACAATTGGAATTAAAGTTGCCTTTACTTCAAATATTTCTTGGAATGACTGAACACTTAGCGCAATAGACATATTATCCTTTGTTCAGCGCGCTAAACTGGCTGCTAAGGAGTAAAACTGATACAACTAAAACATTGTATAATATACTTATTTTGTTGATTTGTCTATATTTGTTATTTCTCTTTTATTGAAGTAAGGAATTTGTATTGCTTCTTGAAAAGTTACCAAATTGCAATTCTTTTAATTCAAAATCACTTAATATCTATTTTACCTGATATTTTTTGATTCACAGGTCATTTTAATGAGCTCGAAAAAAGACAAGCAATTTTAAGTTAATGAGGTCAGTTAGTTGGTTGGTTAGTTTTTGTTTGTGTATCTGCTTGTCATGTTGGTGTCCTTCATTCACTTGCTTGTGTACTTTATGCAGCTTTCTATGCAATGATCCCAAAATGCGCGAAAGTATCAAGTCTACTCTGGGTATTCGTTCGGAGTCGGAACTAATATCATACGTGTTTTGTTGGTGGGCTGACGTAGTTCAACTCCAGATTATTGGTAATATTGCGAATGGAGGCTGGTGCGGACAACTAATTTTGTGTGCTGTGTAGACAATTTCTGAATAGGGTTCTGTCGTTATCTGCCTGAGTAAATAATTCTCCATCGTTAAGGTGCTCAACAGGCTCACATATAGAAATGTGTAGAAATAAAGATTGTCTGCTGCACTTAGCCCCTCTCCTAAATTATTAATAGGATTGAAATTTGGACAGCAACGGTTTGCATAGGTTTAACTAATTTAGGAAAGATAGTCTCAGCCTCTGGTGCCCGTAGTTCAAGTATCAGAGTTTATATCTACTCTGGGGCCCTCATTGTTGCACTCCTGCACATTGCCACAAGGTAGAATGTGACTTAAAATTCCTACGCACTATTTGTAATTTATAGACAACGTACACTATACCAAAGACGCTGTCCACTTTGGTTCCTTTAGGCACGTAGTGCGTCATTTTCAATTTGAGAATTTGTGACACTTCAAACGCGAAGAACGTTAGGTAAAAATAAAAGCTCGTCTAGTCATATTGTTCTGGGAGGAACAGCTTAGTAGGTTCCAGCCTGTTTTTCCAGCTGACTAACCAAGTGTATAACTGTCAGACCTCACCATATTATTCAGGTGTTTTAAGAACACGTTCGAAAACGTGTCTATCATTCGTGGGTCTCAGAACAGTTCTTTTTATAAACTGTAAATTTGATCAGCAAATGCTGTCTGACATGAACGTTGGTACATCTTAGGTATGAAAAATGACCGTGGGAAAGGATTGGCTGGCTTATCTTTTTGAACCTCAGACTCTGTTGGCCGATCTCAATTCTCTTTCTGATGACACGAGAGTCTTATTGATGAGGGATTTCCTATCGCAAGCCGAATTACATGATCGTCGTAGTTCTACTTTCGGTACCGACAGTGCCATAAAACAAGCCTTCTCAGATTTTGGTCTTCCTGATGAAACGTCTCCTCAGTCTGGCTATGACAAGTCGAAGATGCTTGACTGCCTCTCTCTACAGATTGCTGCGTCCTTTCAGTTTAACACAAATATCTTCGCGGGGGTTGTTACCGAGCTTCCCCTCAGACTTTCCTCACGCCTTTATCGAACCCTTTTCTTGACATTACTCGAAAAGAACAGTAGAGGAGCAAAAGATGAAGATATCGAGAATGGGACATGTACCACGCCTTATGATTTAGGCCCATGGGAAAACCTGGAACCTACTCTCGCTTTTGCAGCATTAGCTTACCATCTCTGGTGTTTACAGGTATGTTTTCGCATTAATTAAAGCTCCAAAAATACATTTTCACACCCTTGGGCTTTGCTATTGTTTATTAACAAATTTTGTAAGCACTTGTCTGATGTACATTACTCTCCCAGTTAATTGCTCATCCTAACTTCGTGTTCTCTTATTGTTATTGCTTTTTGAAGGTACCTCATTTGGTATTCGTGAGCTATTTAAGCTTGTTGCTTGTACATCTGGCATCCTCAACCGTTAGGTGTCTCAATTGGCAATTGATAAGAGCCACTTGTATATAACCTATTGCCCTATTACTGAATTCTGAGTGGTTCCCCTCGCCCCCCCCCCCCTACCGTAAGGAATTCATGCCATAGCAGGAATGCTTGAAAGTTTCATTGTGAGCCGATGGTATTAGTGCAGCCCTCGAGTGGCCGGATTTGGGAAGACCGGCTTTTGATTCAATACTAGAAAACTAGAGGGCTGTTGTCTATATTGAGTAATCTATTAGTGATGAATGTTGGTGCCATGAGTCTTAGGGTGGCTGCTAAAGTGTCCAATTTGATTGTAATTCATTCCTCATTAGTGAATGGTGTTTTTCATGTTCCCATGACAATCACTGAGCATAAATGCTGTGACTAAATCTCGTGCATGGAAAGCGAGTGTTAAGTGCAACCTTAGATGACATTATACTTGCCAGGTTCCTAATACAGAGGGGAATGTTAGTGTATTATTAGTAGATTTCTTTGTTCATATTATCATTTGTGGAAGTATTTTTGGTCTACTGCTTGTTAAGGTTTTGTGTGAAGACTAGGCCAGCCTGCTCAAAACAGATGGTAGTTTTTTTCTTTAAGTGAATATATATTCTGCCTGCTTAACTGAGTGAATTTCATGAATTGTATCTTTGATTGGTAAAAAACCGTGTTGTAAGTTTTCCAAGTGGATAAAATATCCAGCATCCTGTCATGAATCAAGAAAATCTTCCAACTATTTCAACCTGAGTTACTGTGGCAACATCTTGAAAGATCACATCTTGAAATCTTTAAAATATAGAAAAAATGAAAAATGAAGTAAATCAGGTGACTAACCACTCATGCTGCCTTGGAGGTACAAACCAACTTGAATTCTAGTCATGTGTCGGATAAAAATATATCCTGTAATGCAGTTAGACTTCATTTGGAATGGGTGCTAGCCATATCAATTTTTTGTCGGCAAATAAGGCCCCTTAAGAGCGACTCCCGCTCAAAACCCTTTTTGACATGCATCTCCAGATCAGTCTACCAGTGGGTTGGGGTCACTTCATTTTACAAAGTTAGTCAAAATGGTGGTATCCTTGTTTGATCTTACTTACCTGTTGTCCCCTACACCTCCCTCGGTAATTCATATTAGGTTGTAGTGAGTCTAGGAAATCAATGACCTCTTAGTGGTCAAGTATGCTTCTGGTGTTCGGCTCTCGAGCAAATCATGAAAAAAACAATGTCTAGGCATCTGAGCTCCCTAACCCCGGAACTACAACCCAAATCGATTAAAATCGTGAAATACCATAGAGAAGGAATGAAAGTTTTTATTACCAAGAGAAATAGGCCTTAACTAATGTCCTTTAGGTTTTAGTCTAAGCTGGGTTTATTTATACCAAACTCTATTTATGTAGATTCCTACCTCTTGCCTATCGCCTCCCACAGTACTGTTTAAATGGAGGAAATTAAAATGTCCATGACCTGAGGCATTATTAAGGTTCGCAGAATGAAGTTTAGTTTTTCTAAAGATTGTTTATCCATTTGCCTCCAACAGACGCCAGATAACTGAGAGAGATTATTCTCTAGAAGTCCGAAGACGCTTTCTACTGCACAGAGATCCGGGATGCTAGATAGTATTTGCATAAACTTGACTCCAGATGTCAATTGTCTCAATACAGTTAAACAATATTCATAATTTGTGTGTCTCGATTTATTAATGGTGGCATTGCCTTGCAGTGCCACTCTACACAGACACAAAGTTAAATTACTCTCGATCTAAAATTGGCTTTTATGGTACTGAAAAATCTAGCGTCGTTGAACCAGCCCTTACACAACCCAAAATTGGTTGCTCACTAAACTCAATGGCTCCCCAAATTATATAAGGCTTGCACTTTTCGGGTATTTTCCTCTAAAAATGGCTTTTACCAAGGATTGGTTTTGAGACACTCATTTGTTTTCATTTTTGCCTTTTATCGGCTTGTCCTTGTGCGAACTAACGATGTGGAGCCGTTGCGTTTGTTTCGTTGTAAGTGAACCTAGGTGTATGAATTTTTAGACGCAATGCTGACTAATAAACAGTGAAGCTTACATACGTTGCTGTGTTCGAGTGATTGCTTAGTCCCAGACCTGATTAGGGTCACTTTTGGTAGTTAGGAGAAAGGTAATTTTATGATTCAGGTGTAGAATTCTGCCGTAGTTTACTCTGTAGTGTGTTGATTTACAGCTATTGTTTGCAGCCAGATGGCCAATGTGTTGTTTCCTCTGGATTAGGTTGCTTTTTCTGAGAGTCTACTCTCACAGCCCTACCGCAACTTGACGCCCGTTGTTGCGGGTCTCTCTGAAGTACCAGACCTCGCCTTCCTGCCTGACAGTCGTGCCGACCGAGACGCCATTTTAATGCGACACGAAGAATCGGCTGCACGATTGCACGATCTGCTTAAATGCCTCGAAGGAGGCGTGGTTATTTCCCGACCAACCCCAGCCTTCTTTTCTTCATCCACACGTAAAACCCCCGAAGAGGAAGTCCTTTCCACCAATCGCCTCGTTGCTGGTGTCAGTTTTGCTCTTGGGCGCCTCGCTTTCCAGCACAATCTCGTGGAAAAAGCTGTCGAATTTCTTACTGCTGCTCAGAAAGCATTCCTTTCAGAAAAGGTAACAGGGATGCACACTCCGCCAACCCTCTCCTACTGTGTTCAAATATCAGTTCTTGGAATTCTAGCGCGTTTACTTACTATGGGGTTTTAGCTGATCTTCGCCAAACAGGAACTACCTTGAACGTTACATGAAAAGCGATTTGTCATAGTTTAATTTAATTCCTCCCTGGAACACGTCTCACCCAAAATGCATCGAACGCATACCTTACATGAGGCCTGTTTCTTATGGATTTGCTACTTCAATACACAGCTAAGTGCCATAATTTATCGACTTCTATTGTAACTAGAATTCGTTGAAATGCTGTCAATCGCAGCATTCTTCGTCTAGTAGGATATTAACTGCAAGAGTCCCTTGCCCGCAGCTCGAAAGTGGAGCACACTCTCAGATTTTGACTCTGGCGTTTCTTTGAATGTCTGATGAAGAATGACATTTCGATGCACTTTCTTTCGTATTACAGCTTGATCTTATCGAGGAGGCTGGAGCCACACCAGGCCTCATTGAAAGTTACCTTGCTGGATGTTCCTCAAGTAGCTCTATTAAGTCCCTGACCGACGGCACGGGCAGCTGTTTTTGTCTGGTCGATTCATTTTGCGCTGCTCTCAAACAGGGTCTCGACTCTGGCGACCCGGATTATGTCCTCCTGTTGGTTGCTTCTGTGGCGCCCATGAAAGCGAACCTTCGCGCGTCACCTGCTGCTAAGGATGCTAGGAAAAAGTTAGTTGTTTTAGAGGCCTAAGGCGATTGCTTTGCAAAGCGTTTTTTTCCACAAATCGACCCCCCTCGTGAATTACCGTCAAAATCGTTTGGCTATTGACTAGAAGATGCAAAATGTCGTAATTTCTACGGTCGAACGTATAGATTGCTACTTTGAACTGATCGCGAGATGCAGAATCAGTAAAATTTGGGTGTTTTGCCTTTCCGTATTGGCGGAAAAACAACTCTCTAGTCTTGTGAACAAAGGTATCTTATGCTGATTAATTTATCACTCCGGTGTTCAAATATTTTAAACGACTGTACGGTCCGCTTTCAAATATATTTCCCGTTGCTCTTTCCTAAAGTCTGAATCATCAGTAAATGCTGAATCGTGATCTCTTGTCCTAGGGTAAGTGGGTATAGCACGTCTAAGCGTACTGCTAGTAAGCGTGACCTCGTTGGCTTTCACTACGTCGTTGAATTCCCTTAAGTTATTAGTAGTGCATGTCTTGATCAATACGGAATTTCAGATAATTAAACTAATTTAGTTCATGCGTAATCATAACACTGTCATTTGTTGGTGTACCTTATGTCCGCCGTAAGGCCTTTATTTTCTGAGGGGGTGAGTTCTACCTTTACAAAATTAATGAAAAAAACATTTGTCAGTCGGCTTTCCTTATCAACTTAAACATCATTTGTAATTCCTACCAGCTGACTTTTACAATCATACACATTTCTCTCTAGTGTCCCCAAGAATAAGATCAACAACCAACCCCAGTTTTCTCAGGAGGAGATAATCGCCTCTCTTGAGGCAGATCTTTCTCAGTCGGACGATGCCACCCACTTTCTTGGTTTTGGCCTGAGGCAGTGTCTAGAACAGCTGACCCACAGAGCACTCACAAACCTGGCCAATAAGTGCATAGCAGACGGAAAGCCAGGAACGCAAGGCGGCAAACAGTCAAAAGCGAAGGAGCTTACTCAATTAAAGAGGGCGTTCAATAATTGGCAGATGTTTTACACAAGAGTGAGTTGCTGTTTCCTCGTTTACTGACGATGACGAACTCTGAAAAAGTGTTTGTTATTGGTTTCTTTCAAACCGTTTGCCGTCTTTGTGTTTCAAGCCTCAAGCCCACGAGGCACCAGGTTGTTTTTAGTCACCGCATTTTAACCGAAAGCCGAGTCTAATCAACCGCTTATTCTATTCACAAGAAACAGGCCATTGTATTCCCTGGGGTAAAATTGCCGTGTTGGACGTCTTAAACGAGTACTAGAAACCGAATGTCTTGAATTTGGACTAAAATTGCAGCTTAGCTGCTCCAAAATAGGAGAGTTGAAATATTAAAGTCCGCGTTTAGTAGTCATCATCCGAGCCGTGAATTGGGGTATACTTTCAAGCCACTGATAATGTCAAGTTGCAGAGCCACTTCGTACTTGGCGCCACTTTTTTTGTTCTTAATGATGACAATTTTCAATAAATCTCATACTGCTTGAGGATTTCTTAGATTTGTATGCCAGTGTTTCTGGATGCTAAACTTTTAGCACTCTGCAAGTTCTTAAACCGAAATTAAATAGTATGTATCAAGTTTGGTTGTGTTCGTCGTTATTCTTGCTGATCAAGCCATTCGTCTATATGTGTGCTGCCAACGTTTTCAGAGTTTGTTACATTTTCTTACTACTGCCAAACTCAAGTATTTACAACACTGGCCGTTGAATGGTTCAAATTCTTATCCACACTAAGCACAAAAAACCAGATTTCAAACTTTAGGTTATTGTTTGACTGCTTAATAGCTTAAGTTTGGTAAACTAAACGATATTTTCGTCGTTTGCGGTATAGAAATACTGGATCTGGAGTTTCTAGGTTTTGCAAATGCAGGACTGTTGTGTTCACTAGTTGGTTTCGCTCCTTTCGCATCGCTACTCTGAGTGTATCAAAACAGTTCTTGTTGAGGTGAAGTTATCTTCCGCTAGGTGTTTTTTCCATTAGTTTAAACAAAGTATTCGTGCTGACGTTTTCTCATATTTTGCGCATTTTTAATTCCCAATTGTCACAAATGAAGTATGCACTTACGTATTTTCGCTGTACTGAAGAGTTCCGATTGAAAGCATTACTGTAAAGCACAAGTGTTCACTACAACTCCACCAACTGGCACTTCGTATGGCTTTATTTGTCGAGAGAATTTTCTAGATATTTTAGAATAAATATCCCGTTTCTGCCACAAGTAAATCATTATATTCTGGTACATTTTCGGAACAGGTGGTTGTGTACAACGGAATAAAATCGATTCTGCAGGCGTCTTCTGTCCAAATCGCCGCCTTTTGCCAAGTGCTACTTGATTCTGGTCCCAAAATGGAAGACGAAACAGCGCCGTTTACTGCGTCTATCAACATCGAAGAAGCCGCCAGCTTACTTCTCAAACAACTTGATCGTCTTCTTGTCGAAAAAAACTGTAGAGTGATTTCTTTCTTGAGCGATCTTGTAGTCAGAATAAGCACGCAGCGTCTAATGGAAAAGCAAACTGCATCTTCATCGGCTATGGTATTTGTCGATTCGTTGATTAAATCTTCTATGGTGAGTCCTTTGCATTTACCCTCCCCATCTCTGATCATGCAGCATTCAGATGGGATGTCAAACGTAGTGCAAACAGGTCTTGTTAGTTATTGTGGCTTGCCTACCTCACCAGTTTTTATGTTCGCTATCACAATCCCAACTGTTTACTTATTAACAACACGTGAAGCATTGTAAATAGTTTTCTTCTTATTTAGGTAGGTCGTTTGCCTGCTGAACTGCAGACCCTTATTCAAAACCTGACAACTGATGACCAGCCTAGAAGTAATGAAAATGAAGATATTTTTAGCCACCTTCCTGATCCAGAAACTGCGCACTCCCCATCCCCTCTGGTGCATGAAGAGCCTACTCCACATCTTCAGCATCAAAATCATTCATATCGCAGTCGTATTACGGATATTCGAGCTGCGCCAAAACTGTCACCTATCAGCCTCTTGGTCGCGAGTTCGAATCCCAAAGTAGTAATAAAGTCTTGTGGTGATCTGATCAATTCCGGCTGGACCCCAGAAGCAGTCCTTCGATCCGGCGGATGGGCAGACACCACGCTGGTCACGCTACTCAAGTGGACCACTCCTGGAGACTTCCATGTGAAAGCGGGATTTCAGAGGCGTGTACGTGCCTCGCATCATGCTCGATTTGCCGGCCATAGGTCGCCTCACGCAGATAGCTCAAATAACATCAAAGTAGTGTTACGAGGTCCGTAAGCTTATGCACGCATTGGTAGACAGGGAACTCATCTAAGCTGGCATTAATTTGGTGGACCGTTAGATCTCCGGAGGAATTTCTGCTCTAAATGCGTGCCTTCTCGTCTTTTTCAATCATAAGATTCAAATGTTTTTATTTAGTACCCGCGGATAGGCGTGATCTCATTATTGGCAAATCGCCGCCATTTCAGGTGCTATCTTCTTGCATTAACACCTCATCTCAGTGTGAGATAACACCGACTAGACTCCTGGAATGATCAATTCATCCCTTTTGTTTTCTGACACAGTTGACATCTAACTAACTCAAATCCCTGTCCCTCTTGAATATTGCCTGTGAAAACCGCCTGTTCACCAGTTTATGTAATAGGGTTGCCGCCATTGACACAATTTCACCCTCGCTAATACCACATGTTCACAACACTTTTCGGCCACTCGACTAGAAATTCATACCTTTAGAATTCGCCCAATCTCGTTTTCTACACTACCCTGTTCATTGTAACCTCCTCAAATTATGATTGTGCCTATTTGTGCCATCCCTTTTAACTGGATGATAAACACCGAACACAGTGGTCCCATGTAGTGTTGCCGTCAACACCCAACGATATTAGTGGTCTCACTTCCTTGAAGAGAGCAGGTCGTGGCTCCTACATTTCTTCGTGTCTTTATGGTTATGTCAAAATTGACGTGTTTACATTATTTTACAGAATATTCTAGTGTTAAGCAGTGACACACAGCATTCCCATAACCATGATCAATTAAGCAATTCAGTGAGAGATTCTTATTCTTATGCGTTAACTTGAAATCTCGTTTTTCATTATTTTATAGGAGCCCCCTTCTGGTGGTTTTGCTCCCCCGTCGTATCTTGAGTTAAACCACCGGCAACTTATAGGTGTTATATCGGAAAATCCCCAATCTCTGCCGGCTCTTGTGTTATTGTTGCGTGCTATTGATTTCCGGAAAGATCGACTGAATTGGGAACAGGCGAACGCTTTTCGTTTGGCGGCTGGTCATCTACTCCCTCCAGGTGCACAAGGACCTCAAGCCGGCATACCTGGGGGGTCTGTTTCTGGTGCCCCGCCTCTCTGGTGTCGAAGCCTTGTTAGGTGGATTAGGGTAGCTCTGGAACACGAAGCATTCCTTTTGGATCTCCTAGTAGGTTAATTGTCTTCTTTAGGAAACATGCTTAGCAGTCTGGCCCCAATTTTGGTTATGGGTTTTTGTGCTTCTACAATGAGTTAAGGCCTTCTCAATCAAACTATTGTTGTCAAAACAGTTCCTGCCTATTACGCTTTTTACTAGACTTACTATTTTTTAGAACGTAATCCAGGAGGAGCCGGTAGACTTCGGCTGCTGCCCATCCCTCCAACACAGCTAGCTTCTAAACTTAACGGTCGCATTAGGTCGAAATCAAATCCCTTTAACTTTGATTTCCGCTGTTCAAACTGCAACAGGGTTGCTTTTTAAAACATTGATTTACTACTCGCATTTTGCGGTTATTTGCTTCTAGTTTTGTTCACTTTATTATAGTTGTTTTTTGTTGATAATTGTAGGAGAGTCTAATATCCCGCAGTAGCACTTCCGTTGTTTTTCGCTCAACCAAAGTTAATGCTGACGAAAATGAATTGCTAAGGCGGTCTAAGTCTGCCCTACTGCAGGTTGCCGGCGTCTCAAACGACTTGGGTCCGGATGCGGTAGTTTCGGAGGACTTATTGTCAGCCGCTTCTTGCTTCATTCTCAAAAAGGTTAAGCGTCTTTGGAGCTCCTGTTTGGTTTTCCTAGAATTAGGAGATTTTGAATTAGCGCCGTTCGGTCCAAACCGATAACGAATAGAAAAATTTGTCTGATAATTGCCTCTACAATGCATCTGCTTTGAGAAAAACCACCCGGTCCATAACATTATCACTAAGCTGGTTTTTTATTAAACGCTTTGGGCATGGCAATTTCAACCTACTATCATGATTTATTAAGTTCGAATACCACTGCCGGTCGATTGACAAAAACCGATCCTAACCACATTTTTGCTGATATATCCAGATGCTTTTGTATATTTTTTTCAAGTAAACCAATCGTTCATCTAGAAACCTTTCGGAATTTTTTTTCACAAACGTCCTCAAGTACGCTAAATAGCCAAATTCAAACCGTGAGTAATCTTAGCTTTCCTTTCCATGTTCAGATGTCAGAGATGTTTGCATCTTAATGCATACGGCTGCAACTGGCTAGATCTCAGTGACGCAGTAGCTCGCACAAGCCTTGAAGTAACCAAAAGCACAGCTTTTGAGTTGAAGCAAACCCCTTTTAGAGTTTTTGGTTGTAACTTTAAGGGTTGTCAAGGTATAAACTAGTTGTAGATTGGTTTGCTGTGTTTATAGCAGCTAACTTTTTACCCCTATCTTTATTCAGGAACCCACCTTTCTATCCACGCTTAACGGCGGCTCTCAGGTTCTAGAGCTTATTCGCTGTCTCTACAGACTCGAAAATGAGAGTGAGGAGCCCGTCCAGGCTGCTCGTGATTTGTACAATCTGCTTTGCAACTGGCTTAGGCCGGTTTCGGAGGCGGTCTCAGCCAATGCCTCCCCTCATCCCCCACCGGTTATGGGTCTTGGAAACACGACCCTACAACGCCATGTTCATCCAGTAATGCCCAAAGGTATGCTCTTCTTCTCCCAGTGATCGCTATCTTCACCTGCGATTTTGGATGCAAGTCTAGTAAAACTTGAGCCTGCATTCCACTTATTGAGCTGTAGCCGTGACTCCGAGACTTAGATAATCTATCAAAATAAGGATCTTTTAGTCTATTTTGCATCATTTCACTGCGTTTCTGTCTGTAACCATAACATATTTGCTGCTCTCATTCTCCACCCCCCAAGTGGCCTAGCAGAACTTTTTTTACCAAACACGAAAGCATTCGTTGTCTGCGGGTCTGTTTTCAGTCACACCATCGGACTCATGGACCCACACACGAAATCCAAAAGTTGAAGTTTGGCGAACGTATTCACGATAATCAAGTTGTCTGACACATTTAGACAGCAGCCGAGCCCTGAACCGCACACTTATGAGGATGCCGACTGCTGTTACCAAGGTCATTTTGCGCACGGTAATCGTTTTTCTGTAATTTATCGACTTCGTAATTATAAACTAGAACGTCAACCGGAAATCGTGTTGCTGGATGCAGCGTGCGACAATTCTTGACTGAAATGATCTATAAAATCACGTCCGTCCATGACTAAGGGGAACTGCCCAATGCCTATCGATTTGCTGACCTGATGCTTCTCCGTTGGCTTTTAGATATCCGACTCATGATTCCGTTTGTTGGAACCCCCCCACCACATGCACCACCTCCAATGAAATCAGCTCTGGCCTCTTGTCCGAGCACGGATCCCCTACACTTCCTGGTTTGGCTATTGACGGAACTGAGGGATGACAACGACAAGAATTTGTCTGTTCACCTCCTCGATCATTTGAACAATTGCCTTGCGGCAATCCTCTCCTCTGTTCAACCAGTTTTTAAAACGGACTCCCTCAAAAACCCGTGGCCCTCTGTGACTGGAAATACGGCTGGGGTGCGTTTTGTTTATTTACAAAGCAAAGACCCATTTGTGCCCACCGATTCGTTTCCATTTTGAAGAAAGGGAGATTGGTGTAACATATTTTCAGACGAGGACAGCCAAGTTGATCTTGCCTGCTCCAAAATGTTAGGTCACGAGTAGCGTATTGCCGCGATTACCGGGACAAATATTTCCTACCCTCATTACAATTTTTGCCGCAAGCAAAGTACATACGATTTAAAGACCTCCACTTCGTTTCAATTAACTGGACTTTCAATTGAAGCTAAGTATCTCAACTGAACTGTAAAAAAGCACAGAACTATTGGAACATGACGTTGTTGCCTTTTAGCGGTCTTGTAGGATTTATAGTTTTCGTAACTTATCCCACAAGATTACTTTGTTGTATCCATACTTCGTGTTTGTTTATTTTCCATCCGTTAGGGGCTGCAGCCGACAGTGGTGGCTAGTCTTCTGCACTTTTTACTGGCCCGCGGTCATTATTATGCTCCGCAAAACGTCAGTTGGCTTCTTCTAAACGCTGATCTGGAACTTGCTTCGCCTAACCCAAACCCAAGGATAGTGCTTCCCTTGTTATTGCAAGCTGGAGCTGCAGCGAGTGACTTTTTCTCCTATCCGGTAGCCTCGAATATCTTTACCAAGCGGGTAATCAACCTCACGAGGTTTCATTTTAGAACTCGTATTGTTCAATCTACACCACGTCCAAATTTTTTCCAGGTCGTTTCGGCGATGGTTCATTGCTGCGTGTCGCTTGGATTTCTCGGTGAGGCGGTTGTTCTTTGTCAGTTGGCAGCGGAAAGGAGTCTCATAAAGTTGGGTGTACAGATAATTGAATCACTTGAATCCCTCGACACATCGGAATCAGCCAACTTCGAAAAAACGTACGACTCGCTAGACGGACTCTCAGTCTTTTTATGGGACATTGAACTGTTAGAATCTTTGGCGACTCTAGAGCTGCAAATTGGATCACAGTCAAAACGGATGACGTTTATGCGTAAGCGACTGGTAACTGCAAACCATAGTAAAGTTATTGTCCAGTGCTTCAAAAACTTTCTCTTTTTAGGTTGTATAAATCAACCAGAGCTAAATACTTCAAATGCCCCTGAGATCCTGCAAATGACACAGGCCAAACGTGCAACAGAATTTCTAAGGTACCTTTGCCAACAAATCATGGAATAAAAGACTGGAGTTATTGTACTTCCTCAGCCCAATCGACTCAATTGTACATATGCCCATGATAGACTTTCTTTCCTGATAGCGTTTCGAACTTTATTTGGAGATCTCCAGCTGATACAAAGAAACCGAAGCAGGGCTCTTGCGGAGTTTCGCTCTAATTCACACAAGTGACCTGTCAGATGCTTATACTTAGGCAAACCGTGAAAATCCGGAATTGACTATCCATCTAAATATGCCATGCCGGGGCGTTATTGTTTAATTCTGCTTTGGTGTAAGTGCTGGAAACCTATATTACTGCTGTAAAAAACATCCCTAATCTACGGGAGAGTGTGTTGCTAAGAAGCCGAAAATAGGCGGAATAATTCACAAGCCAAGTATGTGATTACGGGGCACACATTTGAGCGTGCAATCTCTCAGAGATAGTCTCTGGAAAACTGGTCATGTGTCGCACACAATGCAATGACAAAAAACGCATCGATTAATTCAAGTAGTTTACGCTATGCTATGAAATGTGTACAGATTTTAAACAGGCTTTGAAAGGTCGGAAAGATAACAGGGGGCATACATTTATTGAACTCACCGTTCATGGCGGTTTTACAAGTGCGTAAAATAGAAGTAATCACGTTGCACGGGAGGGTAGTTCAAGGGTGTTAAATGCCAGGAATGCAAAAATTTGTATCACAATCTGAGTAGGTAGATATTTACACGAAAATCATGCTCAAGCATTAGCAATTTCACACTCATCAATCCAGTCGTTGTAAACGTCGATTTCCTGGCTAAGATAGTTAACGGAAGTCTGATAGTCTTCTAGACAAATTCTACACTTCACGTAGCCAGTGCCCTTATCTCTATCACTAAAAAGTTGATAAACGGGTATAGTCACATACATTTCCACTTCACATGATCGTTCGTGATTGCAGAAAGGACAGTTAAACTGCTTAGGCAGTGGTTCAATAATTTTTGCCTTCGGTGGCGGCTTACGCGAACTTTTCCGCCTTCCCATCGATAAGCAGCTAAGTGTCGACTGACGTCAAAAAGTAACCGACCTAAGCCTACTAATAAGAAAATAGCAAGACAAGTTTGCCAACACATTTAAACAAGGTGTGAAGAATGCATTTTAAAAAGTATTCCAATACACATCACTTTTTATGCCATCAATTTATTTCCTAATCTCTCTGCTTGCTGCAATTTTAATTTTTTTGTATAACTCTACAAGACGAATCATTGAGTCTTTGATTAGCTATAAATGGAATTCAAAAAAAAGGATTGAGTTTTGCACACGGTTTCAGTCAGGGATCAGAGATGCAATTTTTTATTCGAGTCAATATACTCAAATTTACTTTTGGCAAATTGAATTGTGTTTAAAATTACTACTCGATTTTTTTAAGACATGCAAACCTCAAATTCGAAAATCTTTATTTTCGAGTAAACATTTTAGTTTCCCATGACGCATCACCACTTATCAGACTTTTTGATCGACTTAGCAGATATCCCTACAACTGTTTTTTATTACAAACTGATTATTATTTTTTTTCCTGAAACTGTTGCTCTTTTCCTTTAGTGCAAATTGAGTTAATAACATATTGCCAATATCTGGAAAATTCACAGAGCTGCATCTGACGGTTTTTTAATCCGATATTTGCCACAGTTTTATGCGCTTGTCAGATTAAACTTCACCTTTTTGTTAGTCAACTTTGAAAAGCCTTAGTACACACACAAAGTACATTTCCCTTAACTTCTGCAAATAAGGAATATCATATCATGTAAACTTATTTCATTTTTACGCTGACTTTTTTTCGAATTATGAATAAAATTGAACCAGTATCAAATTGGCTGAAATTTGAAACTTGAAATTGTAACTGTAAATGTCTAAATCAGCTCAAAATAAGAACGGAGCTACCGCAGCCTTTGGAAATCAGTACAAGCCTATCTGCTATGAGCGATCTTTAAAATATCTCATTGCTAGCCCTCATACCGCTGATTACTATTTAAAGTATTAATTCATTTTTAATTTCGAATCCACCATGATTAACACTCCGGTTGTACTATGCGCATAAATTAACCTTAATAGATGCATTCTAATGAATTAAACCATTCAAGTAAAAAAGGTGGCTTGAATTTACGACCGTTTTCTTTAAATAATGTTTAAAGGATAACTGAGTATATTTTAATCGTGTACTAAAATTATTGTTCTAAAGGGGCCCAACTATCAATTGCCAATTTTTTAAAACGTATCGAAAATAAACAATTAGGTGATATATTTTATCTCACTTGGATTAGATTCATACAATGGGACTCATTTGAGCACTTGATGGCAAGAATCACCAACGGGTAACAACCCGAGAGCAAAATCGACAAAAGGCATGTGTACGCATCAAGTGTTTGGAAGTCTATAGTTACTTTTCAAATTTTGACCAGTAATTAAAAAAAACATTATCTTCATCTCTCGTGTGATGAGTGGCTTGCTTAATGCTTTGTGATGTCATGGCATATTTTGTTTTAAATGAAAATTTGCTTATTAATAACGGTAGAAATTTACAGTAAAAACATAAGTTCTAAAGAAAAATGGAACTTTAGAAGATGCGAAGCAGAAGAATTGAATAAAATTTCGTGTTTTCTTAGACCCTTTGTCATTGCATGTTTTATATGTTGACAGCATTCTAATCACATAACTGGCTCGAATGTGGTTTGATTCAATGTAACTTACAAGGTAAAAATGTTTAAATCAAGTGATTGAGTGAATACAACCAGTAGAATATATGCGCCTGCATACATAAATCTAAAAGGTATTTCGTTCGTAACGCTAATTAAAAGACTAACAAATTTTGCTAGTTTACATTGGCTGGAATAAATTCACAAATAGCGACTTTTCACTAAAACATTTACTTTTGTATACTTTGGTATTTGTAGCCCCAATCTCCACAAAATGTGTGAAATTCTCTGATAGAAACCTGTGTGGACGATGTTAATTTCAATCTAATATTTATTGGAGCAATTTCGGTCACTGAGAAAGAGCATTTTCCCTCACTATCGAAATAGTGATATGCAGTGAACTTTAAAGTATAAAGTATAAGGTATAAACTTCAAAGTATATTGGTATGCACGGTATGATTAAATACAATTAGGGTGGCTAAACGCTTGTTCTATTGTTACAATAGGTGAAAATTAATAAGTGCCACTTTAAAAAATATCGGTGCAAGCATTTATGAACTAAGCGTTTGTAGGGTTAAATTAAGAGGATTGGCGACTAGCTTGGTACCTTTGATCTAAAAATAATCTGAAATCTTTAGTTACACTGTTTTGATAACTTTAACATCGCAATTACATTTTCACATTTCAGACAAATCGCGATGCCCCTGTAATGGGATTACCCTTCTGTCTCCATGAGAGAATACTTCCTAGCATGACTATCTTCCAACCAAGTTTTATTGCCTTGTCGATACCTGACAGCAGCTGTAATGCACAAAATTTTTACCACATGAAACTGGCAGTTCTTAAGTTTTCTGACAGCTGCCCATATCTCTAAATGTATTTTCGTGATGAGCGACTCCCCTCTAAGTCAAGGTTCCTCAATTGTCCTCAAATAAATTGCAGTTCACTTTGCTGTGGTGAATCTCCTCTTGCTTTGCCCAAATCGGCTACTGGTAGTATTTCGATATTCAATTCTAATGAAAAACGTTTTATCATGTTCTGTAAAATGCCTTTATGCCCCCGCATGTCAAGTTTGTAAAGTTGCAACACCTTGAACTATTTCAAATACTGCTGTTCTAAATTAGCAAATAAAGTACACAGTCATTGACGCCTTAACACGTGTCGAATTTTTTAGTGATTGCACTCCTCGTTTCAGTTATTTCTGTCAGGCTATCCCGTGATGTAGGTTGTTGGCGTTTGCAATGTCGTGAAAACGTGCTGGCCATTTCCACCGAAGGACCATCGCTCCTCAATTCCTCAGTACTTTGTCATCATGTATAAATATAGTTTAGTGCACTCTAGGGTAATTTAGCTTCGTACAACACAGTGATACATGTAATCCCATAGTTTGTGCTTAAGTAAATTCTACGTTAACAGTACAATTAATCACGACTCTGAAAATGTATATCAGGTGTAGGTCAATAAAGCTCTTAATGGTACCTCATCATCGCAAATTTTTCTTTACCAAATTAACAACCACAAACTTCACGAAAAGAAGTGTTCAAATCCAGGAGCGATTACTAACTTAAGCGTACACGGTACATGGCAATGTTAGAAAACAAGGGGCATTATGCAAGCAAACATAATCAAGTGAAAATTGATGTGTACACATGGAGTTTTCAGTGCCCTTCGCTACATACATCCTTGGGCAAATTACGTACCTATAGCAATTTAAAAAAAAGGACAACGCAAATGCAATGTCACCCACTAGACTTACAACCCATCATAAAGGTTGGAGTCACTTTCATTTTGATGGCGTGAAAGTGGCACTCAATTGAGCTCTATTCATCGAGGAATTCGACAATAAAAATTCGCAAAAAAGCAGCACGGCATTTGTGTCAGCATTTCAAAAAACAAACATTCGAATTACCCATAATCTTATCTGGACGCTAATAAAAAAGACGAGAACTGTTAACATAAGAGTAAAGCTAATCAAATGTCAAATATTCGTTTTGTTACACGGATTGTCGAATTCCCAAAAAACAATGAACACAGTAGTTCCATGTAGTGGTGTTTGGCTTTCCAAGAATTAGGAGATTTTGAATTAGCGCAGTTCGGTCCAAACCAATAACGAACAGAAAACGTTGTCTGATAATTAGCTCTACACCGCATCTGCTTTGAGAAAAATCTAAATATGTTTTTTTCGACTGATGATTAGACTTTCAAGGAGCCATGAGCGGGTCAATAAGCTAAATTCTATCTATCGAGAATTTAGATTATAAAAATACATAACAATCCCACGGCATTTGTGTCAGCATATCAAAGAACAAACATTCGAGTACTGTAGGGCGCAACACGCGAACTTGCACAATTGTTAAATGGAAGCACACTAATGTGGCTAGGGCCAATATTATTTCAGGAAAATATTCCTCTTCTTTTCTTCGGGCTGGCAATCTTCCTCTCGGCTACTGCCGTGTACGGCAACTAAAATACAATAAATACTAGCATAAATCACAAAGTCTCGACTGGCACTTGACTATGCGCAGCGCCCAATTTTACTCTCGACGAGCCTATAAACATGCCACTAAAGAAAGTAAGCAAACCAATTACGCTAATTTTGCGTTGTTGTCACCCAAAGTCTAGTCAAAACCACAGAAGTAGAAGCATTTACTACAATGTGCTACATCAAGTAAGTTGGGATTCACAACATCACCATACACAATGCGAGTTGTTTCAAAATTCCACCAGTCCCATTTCATACCCCATCTCGCTCCCAACATTCTACACCAAAATGAACAACATCCAAAGAAGACACATTTCTAAATTGCCACAATTTGCGCTAAGTAGCAACATGACGTGGATAGTAAAATGGGCTCTTCTTTTAATCTCATCGTTCTACAAGAAACTGCCTTAGTCAGAATTGTTTCGCTAAAATCAAAACATGTACCATTGTGGCGTAGAGTTCGCAGTACATCTTTATACGCATTTCGTAGTTTTTAACGAGCGATGGTTCAATTTGCTTCCTAGTCACAATCTGCCTCACTCTGGCATCCCACACACTGCTTAGCCTCCTGATCTCCTCGCTGAGCTTAATGTACTGCGGTACCAACTGCATGTGTTGTTCATAGATGGCCATAGCTGCCTCCGT